TATATATATATATATATATATATATATCCTTTATTATCCTTTCTGGAACAGTAGTCTGAGAGAATTTTTCCTGATGGGAATTGAGGAATGGGACATCTATTCTTTTACAATGTCTAGAAAGTAAAAATCCTAGAGCAATTGTCATTTGTGAAATAAGGTAAGCATAGTCATACAATCCTAACTGCTTTTTGGTAAAGTTTCATCAAGGAATGAGTTTATTATATCCAGTCTTTTGCATAACTATGTCTTATACCAGGATCGGTTTTTTCTTTTTCAAACATCTTGCTGCCAGGTCAATATGGAAGTTTCTGTGGATGTTGGGCAAATTCCTAACCTGGAAGAATTTGTCAGCCGCTTAACTCAGTCCATGCATTCCCTTGTCCCTGGATCTTTGGTCATATGGTAATATCATGAAACAAAAGCTTTGTTTAAAATTAAAAGCAGCTTATGTTCTTCCGTTCTGTTCCTGGATCTTTGGTCCTATGATAATGTAATGAAGCAAACTATTCAAAGTAAAAATTCAGCATATGATTCTTTCTTATCGTGATGCTACAGGTATGATAGCGTCACAATTGATGGGAACCTTAAATGGCAAGATCAACTAAATGGAAAAAATAAGCCTTTTTTCGATATATCTGATGGTATATTTGTGAACTACACCTGGCAGGTAATTCATCCTAATTTTTAATTATGTTTTTCCAGGTTAACAATAATTGCTAAAGCCCGTTTCTTGTGTACTTATAGGAGAATTATCCTAAGCAATCAGCTGAGGTTGCCGGTGACAGAAAGTTCGATGTCTACATGGGAATTGATGTCTTTGGAAGAAACACTTATGGTGGTGGACAATGGATGGTGGGTTTGTATACTAAGTAGGGAAATCAAAAATTTTCATACCTCACCGGCTTATCCTCTATGCTTGTTTAATAGTGCTAATTCCATAACCCATAGTATTGTTATGAACATTTATGTTGTACGTTAATGTTTTATACTGTTTGATATTGACAGAAATGCCCTTCCTCCTTGTTTGTCTCTTTGATTATTCAAACTAGAGAGGGATTAGGGCGTACCACTGTTTCTGTTAAAAGATTAAAGGATTATCTTATGTTCGACCTGAAAATGTGTTTGAACCAGGATTCTATCTTTACTACGAGAGTAACAATTATGCTTCTTTTTTTCTTTTCTTTTTTGGCGAGGTTCTTCTTCTTTTTTCTTTTCTTTTTTGGCGAGGTTCTTACTATAGACTATATCTGGGACAGGTGTAACATTGCTGTGAGGTAGGCAATTAAGAGCTGTTGAACCTCATAAATAGTAATCGACCTTCTATATTACAGCATAATTCAAAATTGACTACATCAACCTTACTCATCATCTAACACGAGTACTAAACTCCTCAAATTCTACGATTTTAATGAACTTCAAAAAAATTACCTGATAGAAGTGTCTATCATGCAAGTTTTCTTGGAATATTCTTGTTACACTTTCATCTATTCTCAAAGCATCTTTCAATCCCTACCTAAAGTTGGGAGACCTTTCCTTCATGGTTTCTTTTTTCTCGTCCATTATATCTTCTCTAAACTTTCATATTTTTCACAGAAAAGTGGATCCTATACACACACATTGCTATTTATATGCGAATTCCAATTTTTCCCAGTTCAGTGACTTAAACATTATGTGTCACTTTCAAGCTTGTGAGAAAATACTTGCACTGTCTGATTGTTGAAAACTTCTTTATCCACTTTGGAATCTTATATAATAGTACTTCCAGAAAGGAGGAACCAAATTCACGAAAGTAACCAGCTAATAAGGTTTTAGTTTCACTATCTCTGTTAATAAGTGGTTTGCTTGAGCTGTTGGCAGTAACATACATTTCACTGTTACAGGCTTACTCCAGACCACTCGTTTAACCTTTTTCTAGAATGTCTAGCCACTTCGGTTTACTCACTTGTAAAAATAATCTGATTCTGCCTTTTTATGCAGACAAATTTGGCGCTTGATGTGATTAAGAGGGATAATGTGTCAGCTGCCATATTTGCTCCTGGATGGGTGTACGAGACAAAACAGCTACCTGACTTTCAGACTGCACAGAATCGGTCCTGCACTGTGCCGTGATATCTCTTAAATGCTTCTTTGTAAAGAATAAGAATACTGCTTTCCAATAAAGATTACTCAGATTATTTTTAAAGATTCACATAATTTCTATTTCCTGATTTCCTTCAATTTCTTTTCGTGTAACCACCGCCTCCCACATAAAGGATTTTCTCATGGTTTATACTGTAGTTATTTGAAAGACATCAGATATCCTTTTCTTCATCTGGTCTTTCCTTGGCAAATGATAGTCACACTGCCAGCAATATGGAAGATGAGATCCAATAGATAACTTAAGTTACCAAGTCAAGAAGGAAAGTATCTCCTTTTCTACGTATGTTTAAGTAACCAAGCCAAAATGAAGTCTCTTCATTTCAATCTATATGACATTTTATTTTAAAATGCCGGAAAATTTTATGCACTTTTATGAACAGTTGATCTACACTGCCCATTTTGGTAATTGAAAAGTATATGCTTTATATTCACCATATCTTAATGAAAATGCTTTTAACATGCAGTTGGTGGGGACTTGTAGAAAGATCATGGGATATTTCACAAAATTATCCCCTAACTCTTCCATTCTACTCAAATTTTGATCAGGTATGCCTAAGCTTGTTTGTTTTCCAAAATCTTGTTTTGTGTTTCCTTTGTTCTTTTAATGAATATATTGCAGATTTATTGCTTGTAATTTTTTCCTATCAATACCAAGGTGGAGTGGCTCCTTTAGATCCTTGTGTGAAGGAGCAGTTATGTTTGAACTCCTTATAGAGTAGTTCACCAGAGCAGTTCAACCGGTATGCTTAGCAACTTTTGGTACTTTTATTAGAAACATGTTTACGATGAATTTGAAGAAGCAAATATGATGGTTCCAGAGTGAAAGAAGCAAGTATGGACCATTGTTGGTGGTTCCTGCAGGGTGGAGGGGGAGGAATTGAGTATTGTCATAGTATTTTAATTAATATTAACAACACATATATAAGCTGGCTCAAACAGTCCAGTGTTTAGAGGAACCAATCCATAAACTTCTGACTGAAGGCGCCACGTAATGCATAAGCAGAAAGATGTAACTTTGTTACATGGGGCATTTGATAAAATTGTCAAGTACTGAATGTTAAAGGGAAATACAAGCAATTTCAAATATGAAAAGGGTCAATGTCTTGGTCCAAAGGTGGCTTCTTCTATGACTGTTTATGAATAGCAGGGGAAAGGCTAAGACAATCGAAATGTTTTCTAATTCGAAAAGTCTATGAGGTGGCAATGCCCACTAACATCCTTGTTATCATAATCTCAGGGTCATGGTTACCATATTTCTGTTGATGGAAAGCAAATATCACAGACTCCTTGGAATAACATTTCTTCGCAAAGCTTTCAGGTGTCTTCTGGTATCTGTATGTTTGTTCTTGGTTTTCAGTTATTAAATGCAGTAATTTCTGTATTTCAGATATAGCATTTATCAGAAGTTCCAATTTTCAAAAAATTCTCTGTTTTATTTCATTGTCCTCTGAGATCTAGAAAGAGCATTAAACTCTAATATTTAAATGGTACAACCATTATAGACAATTCCATTAATTAGTTTGGTGTGGATTCTCCAGCTAATATGTATGTCCATATCTTCTCATTTACTTTCTTGTTTCTGCTACTTTGGACATCAAATCCCCATAGTAAATGGCGTCTCTGAGATGTTCACTTGGAATATTTCTGCAAGACTAGAAAGCATCCATGCAATTAGGCACAACTCATGTTGACTAGAGTGGAGATACAGACTGTCCCCTTTTTTCATTCATTCATTTCTTAAATCTTTTTTACAGAGTCTTCCACATGTCATTAGTGTCAGCAAAATTCAGTTTCACAAGGATGTCTTGAATTATGACTTGCTCTTCAGATGCATTTTTTGAAAAGGTTATGAGTTTGACTCGAGTGTAAGTGACTAGAACTTTCAACACAGCTGACGTTTCCTTCTTGTTATTCCCTACTTGAATTTGCCTTCACCTTGTGAAGTATCATCCTTGCATTTTGTTTGTGAAAATTAACCACAACACAAAGTAAAAAGTTTAAATGTCTGATAAGGGTTGTCACTTGTGCAATCAGCCTAACTCTTCATATGTTTATGAGTGCACTGATGTTACTTTAGCTCTTAGATTCTAATATTCTATACCATGTCATCCTAAGATTATTTAGATTCTAATCTTCTATACCATATCATCCTATGATTATCCATTTTGTCCATATTTCTCACCCTTGCTAATATATACACGTTTGTCTCAGCCTCTCCTGGAGTTTTCTGGAGAATCTACCACAGGGCATCTAGAAGTTGTTGTTGAGTAAGTTTCTGTGCTTGTTATATTTAGTTTTTGATCTTCCTGACTTCGACAGTTTTCTGTCAATGATAGTCCCTTGTTTCAGTCTGATGATCTATAACCGACAAATCCATTTGAACCATCTGGCACTTGAATTCTGGAGAATATTGTTCTCTGTGTAATGCTTCTTGCATAAGTTAGACGCTATTGCATGTAAATTGTAGAGTCCCTTTGCCCTCCTCCTACCATTGCAATGCTGTTCTAGATTAGAAAATTGTGAGTCATTGGTGCACCAAAAATTGATTCTCTCTGAGATCTAATACATGTTGTGACACCATTTGAGCAGCTTCATAATTTTGAAATACCAAAACATGTCCTTTGTTTCGAGAGATTCAAAATGCATAGCAATTGGGTATCACAAGCCACCAGTTCAGCAACACAGAGCAGAGCATCTGACCAGCAAGTCAGATGAAAGCTGTCTGGTTTTGCTATTGTACTACAAAAAATTTAGTAGGACGCTCTACCCACTTTTTAGTTCCCCAAATGTCCCCATTTTCTAGTTAATAGTAGGGCACTGTCTTTCAACAAAAACATTTCCCCAGTCTCCAGCCATATTCGCTGCTTCCAATAACCTTCTGTTGGAACTTGGGATATCGTCTTCTTAGCAAACCCAGAAAAATCATTTTTTCCAGAGTGTTTAATACCTGCAATTCTCCAATATCCTTTTAGCAATTTCCACACTGGAAAATCTTCTATTATTTTGTCTTTAGGGTTTATTGAAGAACATAAGCAAACATGATTTTCACATCATCATTCAGAGGGAGTCAGTATTACTTTAATATTTGCAGGTTGAAGGATATATGAGAAGTGTCTCTATCCTTTTTTGTTTTTTAAATTCTTTTTTCTTGTCCTTCGAGGTCATGATTAATCATGGGAAAGAATACCTTTAGAATTGAATGTCCATAACAATTAAATCTAGCCGCAGCGCCCTGTCCATCCAATAACTCTTTATATTCTTCCCTTTGTTCTCTCTCTCTCTCTCTCTCTCTCTCTCTCTCTCTCTCTCTCTCTGCGATTTTTTCCTAAATTGAACCAAAATTGCTGAAATTGACGACAAATAAGATATATTTGTGGTTATTTCGTCTGATTCCAGGTAATTTGGTATAGATAATCTCTTGTTTTGTATATTTTTCGGATTGCATGTGTTTTTGTAGAACCGATGTTGCTTTTCTTTAGGCTTTTGCGACTAATTGTTTAGTTAGAGTTCATCGTATGTATCTATTATAGACGATTTTGTAATTTTTTGGTCGAGTTTTTGTATCAACTTCTTCACAAATTTTTGTAACGGTTTGTTCGTATATTTTTTTAAATTTTTTTTCTCATTGAACCTAGTTTCAATTGTGAAACAGAGCAATATGAGAAGACAAACCCGTTCGATGAGTTCATCACCTTATTCAAAGTCGGTTTCAACTGAGAAATCGAGCGACATGAGAAGAGAAACTAGGTCGGTGAGTTTATCTCCTCATTCAACCCCGGTTTTAGTTGAGAAATCGATTGGTGAATGAAATATGCGAAGACAAAACGTTCCGACAGTGTTAAAGTGTTAGAATCTCGAAAGGATGTTATTGGACATTCTAAGAAAAAGAAGAGCAAAAGGTTTAGAGTGGATGATGATTAAGGTAAGAGAAAACGTGTCGTGGAGGACGAAGTGAATTTGGGTGTCAAACCAAAAAAAGTAATGTTCAGAAGGTAGAAAAAGTTAAAAATCCTGACAAAGTTTGTAAGGTACATACAATTTCAGTTATAATTTTTTCTATTGTTGAATCTTCTTTTTCAGTTATAAGTCGCTTAGTGATTGTTTTGAGAAGAAGAAATGGAAATCTGATGAAGACGCAGTTAAGATTGCAATCATTTATTTCATAAACACATTTCTAATGTCCACTCAGGCTCAGTAGACATTTATAAGTAAACATGATTTCCATCTTGTCGAGAGTGGTGAGTATGTGTCGTTTCCCTGGGGTGATTGCGTTTCGAGCTTTAATGAAGTCCGTGAGGGACAGGTTGAGGGGAAAGTCTGGGTTTTATCGGATTGGTGGATTTCCTCTTGCACTACAGGTGTGGTTCTATGAATGTTGCACTTTAGTTGATCAAAAGTTTGTTGTTCGTGTTGGAGATCATACACCACGCATATTGAATTGGAAATGACAGACATGCTGTAGTAATTGTTTGCATTTTTGTTTGTGTATTTTAACTAATGGAAAATACAAAAAATATATTTGGCTTTTGCATTTAGGATTTAATCTCACATCTTGGGATTAATTAGTAGTCAAGTTACTTTGAAATTAAAGAAAATAACAAAAATAATTCATTTTGCATTTTTAACTATTAATTTTTTGAATTTGTCTTAGTTTGCATTTAAATTAGGAATTAGTGTATTTGGAAATTAAGTAGTATAAGATTAGAGTCAATTTGGGTCTTTATTTTTAATTTTGCATTTAACAAAAATTAGAAAAATCATAAAATAAAGGAAAAAATAAAATAAAATAAAAGAAGAAGAAGAGAAAATTAAACAAAAACAATTTGCTTTCATAAATTACCCAAGTTTGGGCCAGGTATGTTTCAGCCCAAAATACCTCAAAACCGGACCAATTCACACCCCCCAGTCCGGCCCAAACGTCCCCACCCGGTCCAGTCCCCAGGTTATCAAAACGATGCCATTTTGGCATCAAGGAATCTAGACCATCCATCTCCTCAATCTAACGNTATAACACCCAAAATAGATGTACACAATTTGCTTTCAAGTAATGAATCGGCAAGGGTAAATCTAGGGGTAGATAATGGAACGAAAAGTGGGTAGATTGTTAACCTACTATATTCATGTAGTATGGTAGCAAAAATCTATCTATATATACATATACATGTATGTGTGCGTGTGCATGTGTGTGTGTGTGCGCGCGCATGTGTGTGTATTGAGGTTTTGTGTGCATGCTTTTGTTCATAAGATTGCTTCTAGCTTGTGCATACTTCTGCTTAATGTTTTGATTTGGGAACTGATCTTATGATGCGCTTGGATGGGGTAGTCTTAAGGAGCCATCTTATAATGGAGGTGGAAACCTAGCATTCAATGGAACACTTGATGATGATATTCATTTCTCAGCAAGGTTGTTTGAAGGGAAGCTTCAGTTAGCAGATTCACCTGTTCACTTTACATATTCTGTAAGCCATCTTTTTTTTTTTTTTTTTTTCTGGATAAAGGTTGTTAAAGTACCTAACTATTAACCATTTGCAAGGTCATACTGGTAACTTTCACCTGGCAGAGAAATCCTTTGAGAAGGATTTGTTACCTTTCTTGTGGATGGGGATTATACAACTGCAGCCAGTTGTTTGTTGTTGACCTGATAGTTCTACTGTGTTGTATCTCAGCACCCTCTAATAATGGAATTCTAGGTGATAAATTCTTTAGGTGATAAAATTCCTTACATTACCTTGGTCTACAACATCAAATGTGCAGGCTTTTTCTCAAAAATTGTGTAGCTATGTTTAATTTTATATTCTGTTTTTTAAGTCATCCTTCTATCCTACTTGGCGCATTTCCCGAGATTTATTAACCTTCCAAATAGCCCAAAACTTCAGAAGAAATATGATGATTTCATGTCATGATGAATAGTTGAATACATGTATTATGTTGTGCCCTTGTCGCTCCTTCTTCATTTATCAGCTGATACGTGCTAATGCAGGTAAAATCAAATGGAAGCTCTTTGTTGGGTTTGTCTCTTGAGTTCACTTCTGCTGTAAGGAAGCAAAAATCAGTATTACTTGCTTCCTGGGGAGATTCTTTGCTGACTATGACCCGTTTTGTTAGACATTTTGACAATGTTATAATGCCTCGTCGTGTTACTAAGCTAGAGACTGAACCATCATGGGTCATACAAGAGAGTAGTATCGCAATGGAAGGATACATGTTAACAAAAATCCATGCTGTATGCTATAAGTTAAGACCTGAAGTTCACAAATCAGAAAGTCAAGGTAATACCATGGCTTTTTCTCCAACAGAATATCATGCGGTGCTTGGTCATCTTGCAATAGATAGTCGTACACTGAACTCGGACTTCCCACCATCAACTTCATGGCTTGTTGATTGTAATTACATTAAATGGTCTTCTGGTTGTCATGACTCCAGGAAACTTAATGTCAACCTTGTTTGGAAATTGAAAGACGGAAAAACTCACCTATTCCCTAAGTATTATATCTATGTCAAGAAACAATCCGATCTCTCAATTGCAGAACCAAATGGATCACTTCAGCTAGTCCAGGAGTACCTGGGAGTTGCGGAAGTTGAAGCATTTTATGTATCTGATCTTGTAGTTTCCTCTGGCACTTCCAGCGTCAAATTCATTATTCAAGTTTGCAGCCTTGATGGAGCTTTCCAAAAGCTAGAAGAGTCTCCATCTCTTGATTTAGATGTTCAAGGTTCGTAATTGTTGTTACTTTATATTCTGTAAGTTTAATTGTTCCATCTGTTCCAGGTTCTATAGGAGAATACTAAAGTAATGTTGATACAAGTGTTATACACACTTACACATGCCGTAGAATAATTTGGTTTATGTATACAGCTTGTTATAGCGCTACAATAATGTACAACAGTACAAGTATTTAACGTGTAAAGGTAGTAAATAATCAGGGGCGGATCTACGTAGGAGATTAGGGGTGGTACGGCACCCGGTCGCTCGGGAAAATATGTACTATGTTTTACTCAAAACAGGTAAATATAGAAAGAGTGGCACCCCAAAGTCACGAGTGGCACCCCAAAGTCACAAGTTGATAGTGGGTGCCACGGTTAAGCTGACAAATGTCCAGACGCTCGACTCGGGATCGAGACTAAATGCATTCCATAGCTGGTGTGTTTCCTCCTTGTCGTCTTAGTTCTCTTCTGAACTTCTTACTTTTTTGATCATTTTTGTATTTTATCTACTCTTTTTTTTTTTTTTTTTTATATATTTGTTCTCTTCTAAAATATACTCTCTTTTTTGAAAAAATAGTTTTGCGTATGTATTCATTTATCTTTAGAGCGAAAAATTATTTTGAAGTATTGAATGATGGTTATCGAATCGAAGGTCTAGCTAATCCTCCCCTTGTGGGATTATACTGAATTTATTGGCAATAAATGTGAATATTACCATAGCAACCAAACTGAGTTTTACATCCTAAGAGCATCCAGTGTATTAGAACTTCTAATACATCCAGACCTCAAATAGCAAATTAATCGTTCTAAGTACAATTAAAGTAATATCTACAGTGGCCTAATTACAGACTTCTTTCTAAGCACACAGTCTTTGCATCATCAATGAGCATTGGCTTGCTCTTTTGGACTCTGCATACATGCTTATCCTGTCCACCATCTCCTTTTTAATTTGTCCAGTGCAAAACTCTATATTCAATGCAATTTGTCTGAAGATCCTCCAGTTCCTTGCTTGCCAAGTTTGATACACCATTACTCCTATGATTGCTGTTGCAACCTCTTTCTTTATGTGCTTCCAATGTCTTCTATTGATCCATTTTAATAGTTCTGGTATTGCCCTATTTGGTAGCTTGATTCCTGCCCAGCTCATTAAAACCTCCTTCATGTCTTTAAACCAACTACAATCTCCAAACAGATGTTGTTGTGTTTCAATTATTCCCTGATCACAAAGACAACAATCTGCATTGTCTGTTATTGGAATATTCAGCTGCATTAATCTACTCTTTGTTTGCAATTTTTGTTGATAAGCTAGCCACAAGACAAACCTATGCCTTGGTAGTAGTGTCCTGTTCCATATCAGTTTCATTTCCCTGCATCTTGGCAAATATCCCAGCATTGCATTGTAGCTTCTAGACACATAATACTGCCCATTTCTAGTCAGCCTATATGTATTTCCCTGGTACCATTGTGCCATATTGTGTTTTAGACTATTCAACTTCTTCTAATATCAGCTGCAGTCACTTGGAGGCCTGTGTTCCCAGATATTTCTACATGCTTTCATATATATCCCATGTACCCATCTCACCCATAAAACCTCTTTGTTTGTCACTATTTGCTATAGTAGTTTTCCAACTGATGCAATATTCCAATTTTTACAGCCTTTTATGTTCAGTCCACCATATATCTTTGGTCTGCATAGAACTTCCCATGAAACCAAAGCCATTTTCCTATGACCTTCTACAGTTCCCCATAGATATTCCCTACATTTCCTGTCTATTGCTTTTCATACTTTGAGGAAGTATGAAAACAGCTCCCCAGAAGTTATACACTGCAAATAGGACTGAATTGATTACTTGCAGTCTACCTGCATATGATAGATGCTTAGCATAACCTGTTTGAATATTTGTTGTGATCTTGTCCACTAACTGGTGACATTCCACCTTGCTCCATTTCTTTGATGTAAGTGGTAATCCCAGGTATCTCATAGGTAGAGTACCCACTGAGAACCCTGTAGCATTCACTATAGCTTGCTTACTTTCTTCATCCATTCCTGCTAGATATATGTTGGACTTTTCCATATTTGCTACCAGACCTGATGCTGCACTGAAATGATTCACCACCTCCAACATCCTATTAATAGACTGACTATTGCCTTTACAGAATAACATCAAGTCATCTGCAAATATCAATGAGTCAGTTTAGTGCTCTTACACATTGGATGATATTGAAACTCTGTCACTTCACTCATCTTATTCAGCCCTCTTGTTAAGTATTCCATAACAAGCACAAATAATAGTGGAGACATAGGATCTCCCTGCCTCAATCCTCTTCTTCCTTCAAAGTATCCATATCCTGCACCATTCACCTTGACTGTGAACTTGGTTGTTGTAACACACACCATTATTAGTTGAATGAATGACATTGGAAAGCCATAGCCTCTGAGTACTTCTTCCAGGAATTCCCATCTTACCATGTCATAAGCCTTCTTTAGATCAATCTTCATCAAACACCTAGGTGTAGTCTTCCCGTTATAATGTCTTAATAGATCATGACATATCAATACATTGTGGATAAGTGATCTTCCTTCAATGAATGCTGCTTGGTTATCTGCTACAATCTCTGGCATGATTTTCCTCAATCTAGTGCATATGATCTTAGAAATACATTTATATATAACATTGCAGCAAGCAATAGGTCTAAATTGACTTGCCTGCACAGGATTCTTTACTTTTAGTATAAGTGCTATGCTGGTTGAGTTGATCTGGGTGAGTAATTCTCCATTTTCAAAGAATTCCAACACTGCTTTTGTCACATCTCCTCCAATTATTGTCCATGCCGCTTTATAAAAGCCACTCCCGTACCCATCTGGTCCAGGGCTTTTAGTGTCATTGATGCTGAATATTGCTTTCTTCACTTCTGCTCCTGTGTAAGGCCTTAATAGTTGTAATTCTTGTGTAGTTGATAACACTCTCCCATTTTTTAAGAACCCCTGTATGGCATGATCTCTGAATCTTCCCTTTGTTCCTACTAATTCCTGGTAATAGTCCACAAAAATTTCTGCAATGTCTTCTTGTTCAGTTTTGCTTACTCCACTTTTGTCTGTTAATTGTATGATTGCTTCTTGCATCCTCCCGTACTTGATTACTGAGAAGAAGTACCTGTTGTTGTCATCTCCCAGCTTAATCCAGGTAGCCTTGCTCCTTTGTTGAAGATAAACCTCTGCCAAATATGATGATTTTTTGAATTTTTGATACCTTTGCTTTTCTTCGAGCTGTAATCCTGCATCCATAGGATTCTTGTGAAGTTCTGCTTGTGCTGTGACCAGGGCCATTCTATCTGCATCTGCTTCTTCTATGATGTTGCTAAAATGCCTCTTCTTTAACATCTTCAATTCTTTCTTCAACATTTTAAGTTTCCCGACCACTTGAAACATACTACACCCTACAATCCTCCTTCATCCATACTCCCTTAACTATGTCTATAAAGTTTGGATGTGATGCCCAAACATTACAGAATTTAAAAGTATCTTTTGTCCTCCTGTTAGAAGTTCCTATTGACAACTTCAATGGACAGTGATCACTGATGCCTTCTTCTAAGTATGAAGCCCTATAAGTTGGTATTAAATTGAGCCATGCTGTATTGATGAAGGCCCAATCTATTTTTGATAAAATCCTATTATCACTATGCCTATCATTCCAAGTATACCTGCTCCCACTAGTTGGCATCTCCATCAAGTCACATTGGTCTATGCATTGTTGGAAATCAATTATTTCTGCTAAACTTACTGGATTTCCCCTAACTCTATCATTAGTATGTAGGACAGCATTGAAATCTCCCATAACTATCCATGGGCCTCCCAAATTCTTACTCACATTCTCAATGTAGCTCCACAAACTTCTTCTTTCTTCTCTGGTGTTGAATGCATACACTACAGTCATCATAAACTCTACCTGCAGTCTTCTATGGCTGACCTTGCATGTTACTGCTTGATCAGTCATTGTAATCACAGTTACATGATAACAGTCCTGTCTCCATGCCACCCAAATTCTACCATTATAATGCTTACTCAGATTTTTTATACTACCCCATCCTCCAAATAGATTGTTAGCTACTTGATTTATTTTGTCTGCCTTTATTTTTGTTTCCACCATACATATCAACCCTATATCTTCTTTATTACAAAGGAGTTTTACCTCCTTTTGTTTGTTAGGGGCATTAATACCCCTAACATTCCAACATAGCATGTTATCCATTGTTAATGGGAGGTGATACTCTCCCTCCCACATTCCCCTCTCCTTTCCTGCTCACCTCTACTCCTTCATTATCCTGTGTCTCCAATATCTGAAAATTGTTGTAGTAACTTCTGTTACCAGCTTCCCTCCCTTGTTTTGGTTGCCTATTTGTGCTTCTTGTGACATTATTTGGTGTTGTCCATCAGCAGTGCCCTGATTCTCTTGAATTCTTTTCCCCCTGCCTCTATTGTATTCCTTCCCCTACCTTGCTATTTGGTGATTTGTCCTGTTTTCCTGTTAAACTTTCCTCTCCTTTTTCATTCTGCTCCTCTGTTGGCTTAGGCTCTACTGTATGTTTTTTATTTTTACACACCTGCTCATCATGTCCATATTTCCTACACACTTTGCATAGTGTAGGCTTGCAATCATATTGTACTTTTTGCTCCATTAATAGCCCCCTCTCATTCTTGAAAACCACTTTGTCTGGTAGTTTAGTATCCATCTGTACTTCTACTAGGAGCCTTGCAAAGCTTAGCCCCATCTTCTTCTCAGTATTACTATCTACTATCAGTGGCCTTCCAACTAAGCTGCCAATTTTGCTCAGTCCTTTAGGGCTCCAGTATTTGAAGTCCAAACCAGGTAATTTTATCCATATAGGCACAGTATATAACTCCTCTTTAGTGAACTCCATATCCACATTCCATGCTTTAACAATAAATGGCTTGTTATCAAAATGGTATATACCTCCTTGAAGCACCTCATTCTTCCCTATGCTGGTATCAAATCTCACAATCACTATTCCATTTTTTAGCATAGAAAGTTTATTAATTCCATGTTTTCCCCATATCCTTCTTACATATGCATTAAGTACAGTAAATGGTGGGTGAGCTCCTAGAACATAGCATACCACAGCATTCTTCCAATACTCAATTTTAGATTTAATATCCTCTGTCTCAATTTCACAAACAGGTGTCTCATCATGTACAACAGGTTCTACAAATTCTAGCTTAAATCCAGCATTGGTTACCTTTGTTATGTCGAAATTGTCCCATATAGATCCCCCAGAGTTTGACGCAGGTGCAATCTCCATGATCTCTGCTTCATCTGCCCACGACAATTTCCCACTCCCAGCACCAGTTTCCTGCGATTTTGGTGAGGTTTTTGAGGATCCCTCACCCAGTTCTGGACTTCTCAGCTCCGATGATCTTACACTTGGTGGAGTTTCACTTAATTCCACTTCAATTTCCTTTTGCTTCATCTTCTCCTCACTGCATGCTACTGTTGCATTGCTTTCATTGATTTTCACTTTTTCAAATTGTTTCTCTAGATTTTGACCTTGCTTTCCTTCATCATTCTTCTTCCGTTGTTGGAATTCCATAGTTTCCCTCGCCATTATCGCCTTCTGCGATGGATTTCGATCTCTCTTACCCATGGCGCACGTTAGGCTAACGTACGCTGAGAGAGAAAACCGTCAGAGAAGTCTTGATTCAATTTTTACTTGGTTTTTTATACTGAATATATTACTGTTGCTGTTATTTTATTACTGTTGTTGTTATTAACGTACGCTGAATTTATTACAGTTGTTGTTATTTTATTCATCCAACATTATATTTTCCTTACTACACAATTTTTTTTTTCAAGTGATCATTTTTGTATTTTATCTACTCTTTTTTTTTTGTTTATATTTGTTCTCTTCTAAAATATACTCTCTTTTTTTGAAAAAATAGTTTTGCGTATGTATTCATTTATTTTTTAGAGCAAAAAATTATTTTGAAGTATTGAATGATGGTTATTGAATCGAAGGTCTATTGAAAAGAACCTCACAAGGTAAGAGTAAGGTTGCGTACACGCTAATTCTCCCCTTGTGGGATTATACCGAATTTATTACTGTTGTTGTTATTTTATTCATCCAATATTATATTTTCCTTACTATAAACATAATATTAATCTAGCTCTAAGTAGATTAAGTAAGTGTATTTGCTAACTTAAATTTTATATATTTTATGTTTTTATTCATATTCAATAGAATTTGAATTGAGAGAATTAGATCGAGCTGGACAAAACTTATTCTGTTTGGTGATCACGTATTTATATGCACCAAAAATCTGAAAAATTAAATTGAATTATTTCAAAATGGATCGAACAGAACCGAACTAAATCAATATGGGTTTAACTAACAAAATGTATACCCTAATTCAATCTCACTACAAGAAAGAAGGTATTTGCCAACAACGTTTTTTGTTGCCATAAATCAAATGTTGTTGCTAAAAGTAGTTTTGGCAACAACAAGAAAGTTGTTGCACGCCGTTGCAATAAACGCCGATGGGAAAAGTATTCGCAACAACCAATAGTATTGTTGCAATAGCTAACTTAACGCAACAAAAAATATTGTTGCCTTAAGTTATATTTTGTTGGTAAAAAGTCATGCTACTGTGGCTTATGAGAACATTTAACAACAAAAATTATTGTTGCAAAAATGAGCTTATTTACCAACAATATATGTTGTGGTGAAATAATTGGTGGGAGAGCTAGTTATTGATCTATTATAAGGCTTTTAGCAACAATTGCTATTGTGTTTTATGAATTACCTTTTGCCAATAATAATTTCACAAATATATATACATAATAATAAATTATATATATATAAACATCAATACACAAAATTGATACACAAGTATTTACTCACTTTTCAAAAACTAAATCTCCTAAAATATATGCTTGTACTTACAAGAAGTAACAAAAGAATCATATACCAAAGTCATTAAATTCTAATATAGTTAACTCCAAAAATATGTCTTCTTCCAACAACTTGTTGTAATGTATGAGCCATATGTCCAGCAATGATTATTTAAGCATGTCCATCCTACAAAAGAAGATAAATATAATTACATTTTGATAAAAAGAAGTTGTAAAGTACAAAACTACAATTAACAAAGAAAAAGAGGGAATCACATATACCTATTGTCCACTTACTAAACATTGCAACTACTTCATCATTGAAAATTTTACACAATACAGAATTGCTGAATAGAAACACTCAACTAAAAGAACACTGAATATAAGTTGCAAAATTATGAGATAAAGTCACTTAGAATGACTTGTAGGACTTGCCTCATCCTCTTCTTTCAAAATATAGCAAAAATGTGAAGGCCATAAAACAGAGTAGAGGAAACAAAAGATAAAGTTCACTCTATGACATTGGCTCCATCAATTTCTGTGACGACCCGACCCGTCGTCACGAGAGTTACCGCCCCGTTTCCCCCATATTGTGTTGCCTTATGTTTCAATATCAGCGTTTGAGTTGATCGGGTAGAGTTGGATTGGTTTTAGTTGGAAATGAGGCACTTAGCCTCTTAGAAGGAAGCTTGTTTTGGAAAAGTCAACCGGAAGTTGACTATGTGGTTAGAGGGATCGGATGTGAATTCCGGTGGTTCGGTTAGCTTCGGGGGATGATTAGTGACTTAGAAGTGCGATCGGAATTGAATTTGGAGGTCCGGTGTAGAATTAGGCTTGAATTGGCGAAGTTTGAATTTTGGCTAATTCCGGTTGATAGGTGAGATTTTGATCCGAGGGTCGGAATGGAAGTTGTAGTAGTTTCGTTAGGTGATTTTGGATATGTCTGCAAATTCTCAGGTCATTTGGACGTTGTTTGGTCGGGTTTTGATTGAATGCGCATTTCGGAAGTTTTGATGAAAACTAGGCTTGAATCCGATGTATTTTAATGATTTTAGCATTTGTTTGACATGTTTTGAGGATTGGAACAAGTTTGAATAAGGTTATAGGATGTGTTGGTGCTTTTGGTTGAGGTACCGGGGGCCTCGGGGTGATTTCGGATGGTTAAACGGGAGTTGGAAACATTTGTTGCAGGTCAGATTCTTCTGTCTTCTGGTATTTCTGCATCTGCGGAAAGGAGCCGCAGAAGCGGTTCCGCAGATGCGGCGGAGAGGTCGCAGAAGCGGGCAGGTGTAGCCCAGGGATTTTTCCGCATAAGCGGACGTGTAGGCGCTTCAGCGAGTCCGCATAAGCGGTTAATATACCGTAGAAGCGGTTGGAGGTAAACCGCATAAGCGGGTGTTTGGATCGCATAAGCGGTCCCAGGTGTTTTAAGTGAGACCGCATAAGCGGTCAATTTGTCGCATAAGCGGTACCGCAGGTGCGGTTAAAGGGCCGCAGAAGCGAAAATCTGGACTGTGTTTAATGAGCAGTGTTCACGAATTTTAGAAGTTAAGAAAATATTTTAGACTTCGGGAAGAGGCGATTTTGGGCGATTTGGAGAGGATTCGAAGGGGATTCCATCAGGTATGAATTTATAGACTCAAATAATGTTGTTATGGTGTAAAAACAAGGATTTAAACACTAAAATTCAAGGAATTAAAGGGGTAAAAATGGAGGTTAGGGCTTGAAACCTAAGAAGGTTTGAATTGTTGATTTGAGGGGGCAAATGGACTCCGATTCTTGTGTATTTTATATGTACGGACTCGTGGCGAGACGAGGATCCCGGTGATGTGAATTTCGTAATTTTTCGAGAAGTGGGCCCGAGGCTCGGGTTTTGCCAACTTCGTGATTTTGGTTGTTTTTCGAGTCTTTTCGATTGGGTTACGATTTGTTGGCCTATTGTGACGTATCCTTTGTGGTTTTGGTCAGATCCTACGCGCGAGGAGGTCGACTCGAGAGGGAAAGGCTTGGCGAGCTAGGTTATCGACCGGCTAGAGGTAAGTAATGACTTTAAATGATGTTCTGAGGGTTTGAAACCCCGGATTTGCACA